CGCCCCACTTATTAAGGAGACTGTCTTTCCCCATTGTGTATTCTTGTCTCCTTTGTCATATATTAAGCGAGTGTATAGATGGGGGTTTATTTTGGGGCTCTCTATTCTGTTCCACGGATCAGTGGGTAATGGTGGCCTCATTAAGATGAGCTTGAGACCCTTCCTTTTGAGTTTTTTGGCATGGTTGGAGAATAGGTGCTAATTCTTCTTTGAATGTTTGGTAAAATTCACCTGTGAAGCCATCTGGTCCAAGACTTTTGTTTGTTGGAAGTTTTTTGATTGCTGATTCGATTTCCTTAGCAGTAATTGGTCAGTTCAGATTTTGTTTCTTCTTCACTCAGTCTTGGAGGATTGTATGTTTCTAGGAATGTGTCCATTTCTTCCAGACTGTCCAGTTTTTTGGCATATAATTACTCATAGTGTTTTCTTATAATTCTTTGTATTTCCGTGGCGTCAGTTGCCACTTCTCTTTCATTTCTGATTTTATTAATTTGGGTCCTCTCTCTTTTTTTCTTGATGAGTCTGGTTAAAGATTTTAAATTTTGCTTAGTTTTTTAAAGAACCAGCTCTTGGTTTCATTGATCTTTTCTATTGTTTTTAGATCTCTTTCATTTCCTTCTTTGGGCTTTGTCCTTTTTCTAGTCCCTTTAGAAGTAAGTTTAGATTGAGATTTTTCTGATTTTTTGAGGTAGGCCTGTATTGATGTGTCTTTCCCTCTCAGAATGCAAAGATTTTGGGTCACTGTGTTTTCATTTTCATTTGTCTCAAGGTATCTTTGGATTCCTTCTTTGATCTTGGTGTTAATCCATTCATTGTTCAGTAGGATGCTATTTAGCCTCCACATGTTTGTGTTTTTCAGTTTTCTTTTTGTAATTGATTTCTAATTTCATACCATTGTTATTGGAGAAGATGCTTGATATTATTTCAATCTTTACTGAGACTTGTTTTGTGGCCTAACATGGTCTATCATGGAAAATGTTCCATATGCACTTGAAAAGAATATATATTCTACTTTGGGGTAAAGTGTCATAAACATGTCAACTAAATTCATCTGATCTAATGTGTCATTTAAGGCTACTATTTCCTTGTTAATTTTCAGTCTGGATGATCTATCTATTGATGTCAATGGGATATTAAGGTCTCCTACTCTGCTACTATTTCTCCCTTTAGGGCCATCGATATTTGCTTTATAGATTTAGGTTCCCCCTTGTTGGATATGGAGATGTTTGAGAGTTGTATCCCCTTGTTAGATTAATCCTTTTATCATTATGAAATGTCTTTGTCTCGTTACAACCACTGGTTTAAAATCTGTTTTGTCTAAATATTGCTAAGCCAGCTTTTTTTCCATTTCTATTTGCATGAATATCTTTTTCCACCCCTTTATTTTCAGTCTGTATCTTTCAATCTGAAGTGGGTCTCTTGTAAGCAGTGTCTTGTTGTTTTATCCATTCAGCTGCCTTACTTTTGTGATTAGAGCATACAGTCCACTTACATTTAAGGAATTATTGATAGGTATGTAGTTATTGCCATTTTATTGTTTCTGTAATTCTTGTACTTTTCCTCTCTTCTCTTGTACATTAATGACTTTATATAGCATTGTGTTTGCATTACTTTCTCTTTATTGCTTGTATATCTTGTAGATTCTTGGTTTGTGGTTACCATATGCTTCATATATACCAAGCTCTATTTAGAGCAGTCTATTTTTAGTTGGTCACTTAAGTTTGAACATATTCTAAAATCACTACAATTTTTACTCAACCCTCTTCATGTTTGTTTTTGTCATATTTTACTTTGTGAATTCCTTAATAACTTATTGTTGTAGTCACACATCTTTTGAGCTTTACAGTTGAATGATCTACTGCTTTTACTGTTTGCCTTTGTCAGTGAGAGTAATTTTTTTCTTTATCACTTAAAATCCCTGTAACATTTCTTGTAGTACTAGTGTAATGGTGATGAATTCCTTTAACTTTTTCTTGTCTGGAAAACTCATTATCTGTCCTAAATGATAGCCTTGCTGGGTAGAGTAACCTTGGTTGTAGGTCTTTGAATATTATCTACTATTCCCTCTGGCCTGCATTTCTCTTGAGAAATATTTGCAACATTGTACCCAGGTGCAACAGTGATCCTAGATCTAGATCTCCTGAGACTGGTAATACCTGAAGAAAACCCAAGAAAAAATGCCCAACTGACACTTGCTACTAACTTTCTCAGTCAGAATCTCTGATTCTTAATTTCCATACTGTGGGTATGGTACCTGCCTGTTCCCTATCTCTCCACTCTTACCAGTCTCATCATGGCATCTTTATATCCTTAGTTTCGAGACCTCTGTTCAGCTAGTCTTCATGTGGTTTTCAATGATGGTTCTTCTATAATTTAGTTGTGGTTGTGGGAGGAGGTGAACATAGTGTTTACATACTCCATCTTGAAGTTCCTCAAAATGTTGCTTCGTTATGGCCTCAGAGAATTTAGATTGCTCTGTGAGCCAAAGTAATATTCAGAATTGCACAACTTTCTGCCTACCCATTTGGAATGCTATGATGTTCTTTTGGTCAAAAATGTCTAAGTAGCTTCATTTTCACCAGCAACCTTTTTCTTGTGAAGTAAAAAAAAAAAAAAATTATACTCAAGAAGCTCCTTCTTGAAAGCCCTCTTACGATTTTTACTTTTTAAATGAGAATATAGACTCTCAGAAATTAAAAGTAATTTAATCCAAACATCTACAGTTGCATTAATTCTCTATCTTCAATGAAATCCTCCATTAATAGCTGTTCTCCAGGGCAAAAGAGATGGGAAAAAAAAAAAAAAGGAAATGCAATCCATTCTGTGTGGGATAACTTTTAGCTAAAACAAACTAAAGGATCTAGATGTAGTCTTTGAGAACTCCTGAGTTTTCAGTCTCTCATGCCTCTCGTTTTATTACATTATGAAGACTTCGTAAAGCAGAGATTCAACTTTAAGCTTGGACCGTTGAGAATATGGCCCAACAGCAAGTAAAGCAACACTTCTAAAACAATTCACTATGAGAATTTAGATCACATGGTCTTGACCTTTTCTTTTCAGTAGTCAAAAATCTAAAAGTAAACTTATTATCTAGTATAACTAAAGGTTGAGATTAGTTTCTGGAATGAGACTGTGTGGTTTGAACTCTGGCTTCTCCATTAATTAGCTATATGACCTTGGGAAGTCACTTACATTTTGAAGTCTTGGTTTACTCATCTGTAAAAAGATGTTATCTTCTTTACTGGGCTATTCAGAGGATTAAATGACCTAATTCACATGAAGCAGTATGTTCAGTACATCACATGTTTTAAGTATCTAATAAATGTTAGCTTTTCATGTCCACTGAAGTAATAAAAACATAAAATTTAATTGTAGAGAGCTATTTTTTTAAATGAATTTCCATGAGTGCTATTTTGGACTAAGAATAGTGTTAGGAAAAAAATTTTTTCATGCTACAAACAGCTTATAAGGAAATTTTATATTGCCAGGATGTTTTTAACAAATCAGTATGGATTGATAATGCACTGGATTTTGGAATGGTGTGCCAGTATTTAATCAACAAGTTAGAGTCACAAGTAATTTGACAAAATATAGTTATTTATTATATTGAAAATTTGGTTACATCTGTGTACATCTGAACAGTCATACACAGAAGTAACTTGGTAAACTGAACTATATATCGGAAGGGATTATAAAATAATTCTCGAATGTATCCAGACAAGGTTTTAAAAAAACTGCTGTTGTCAAACAATATCGTAAATTAACAAGTCTCTAGCTTTGTCATTTTTTTCTAAAACATCCTCTTATGCCATTATTAGGTTCTATTCCCCAATTGTTCAATTCTAATCAACGGTCTGCTTTCTTGTCAGAGTAAAAAGCAAAAACAAGACAGAACTTCCACTTGCTAATTCTACAAAGAAAAGAATTTAAATTCTGCCAGTCCAGAATATCCATTGAGCTAATTTACCAAAGTATAAAGTTAACTATTTTCTACTTCTCTCCCATCCCCCAGAAGTCGGTCATTGCAAGCTGCAATACATCACTGTCTGAAGAGTATTATTTTCATATCGACCCACGGAATGTACCATGCTATATGAGCACTTAAATTATTGTTTATGGTAACATCAATTAAATATGTCCATATAAAGATTTATATCCTATTAGAAAATTATTTATTGATCCAGAAATCAGGGAGACCATAATAAGTACTTTCACAAAAATGAAAGAATCTTAGTTGGTAAATTTTGTTTTTTGGGTTTTTTTTTTGAGACTATTCAAATTACTTTTCATGAGAAGAATAAGTGTTTAAGGTCCGCTTCCCAGCATTTCTAACATGTTCCCTTGGGGGTTTCACATTACTATCAGTACCTCATGAAGGAACAAACAGTAATTGTTTATTAGATAACATGACAGTTAATGGCAATCTATAAAAGATGTTATTCTGAATGAAATAAAAATGTGCTATGAAAAAAAATTAGAAAACTGAAAAAAAAGTGTTATGGAAAACTATACTCTCATTCTACAACCACCACTTAACCGATGTCACTGCACGTGCCCATGCTGTTTATGCAGAGACATTTTGCTTTCCCAAGCTGGCTGTCCACTTACCCTAGTTGTTTTCACTTTATTCCCAGAGGAACAGCTCCAGCCTTTCCGATCCGGAAGAACTTTACATTCCTCTCCCTCTAGACACGGCTGCATATGGCACCACCATTTCTGTTCCACTATTGAAGCTACAGGAGATAGAAAAATGGATTTATTGTTTTCCATTGGGTTTCTTAATTCTCTTGATGTATGAAGAGGAACAAAGCCACTTTTTTCCCACCACTGGAAAGACTGGGTTTTGAGGTATGCTTCTTTTCATTTTCCAAAGGAGCTAAATCTTTGTAGATTTTCTGACTAGAAGAATTTATCTTATTTTAATACTGTGATAAAAACACTTCACATGAGATCTACCCTATTAAATATATACCACAGTATTGTTGAAGGATTTTTCATGTGAATATGCTTCATGAAAACTAATATGTTGGAAAGAAACTCAATCTTCATGCACTGATTTACAGGAAAATCAGAGGGCATTAGTTAATGCATTTTTTTTACTGTGGGCAGTAACCATCATCCTAAGAAATGTACCATGCTAATATGACTACCTAATTATTCATGGTAACAAATTAAATAGGTCCATATAAAGATTTATATCCTACTGTAATTACTTGAACCTTTGAGAAGTATTTTGATGTATCTTTATAATATTTCATGTAAATTCTATCCACAATTAAACATTCATGATGTTTAAGAACAATCCATGGGGTTAGAAATTTGTACTATTTAATCAACTATTTTCATATTTTCTTCCTCAATTAATTTGCACACAACACATATCCTCAGCTGGCGAATCAATATTTCACATGGACTTTGGGGAACCTCATTATAATGCCTTTTCTTACAAAATTGCATAAGATTTTAGACCTCTTTCCAAAACATTTTATATTTCAAAATGCCTTCCAAATAACCTCATATCAGCCACCTAATTTATATAGTGTGGTTCCCTCAGGATTGGCCCGGTCAACAGATCTAGTGGGATTCCAGATCTCAGCATTCCCCAGCTGTACTATCTCAATGGGCAATGTGAAAGTCTCACCATCCACACAAGATGGAGCAGCTCGTGTGGTGCCTGCCACCTGCCCGGGGAAACAGGAGCACTTGACCGTTTGTGACCGTTCTTCTATCTTGTTCTTATTACAGCATCTGTGGAGTGCCACCACCTCACAAGTGCCCGTTTTAACATGGTGAGCTGTACAAACAAAAACAAAAGATGAGACATTTAGAAAACTTTGGACATGTCCACCCCTCTTTTTAATTAGAAGTGCATTAAGTATAGCTCTATAAAAGACCCACCATGCATGAAACTAGAAATACAACAATGCTTACTCCACACTTTGATTTCTAAATGTGGAATGTGGTTGGACTATTTCTGTCAAAACAGTCTGAAATACAGATTCAATATGATGCTATCAAAAACATTTATTTGCATATGACTTCTTTTTACACCTTTTTGTTTGACTTGCTAATAAAAGGTAAACCCTTAGACAAGGTACCCTGCAATGAAGGTGAGTATAAAGTCAGGCAAGAAGTTAGGATATGGGGGGGATCCCCCTCCTTAGTATTCTTCCACACAGTTTCCATGAAAACTAATTTGGTGATTTCTTGAAATTGCTGTTGTTTTCCCAAAAGTTTCAGCTAGTCTTAGGACTCAAAAATCATTTCTTCTAGTTTTGCCTGAGGAGACAAATGGCACCAAGGGCAGCCAGAACTTGGGTGGATTTATATCTAGCCTAGAAACCCAGTCCAATAAGCTGTGAGGTTCCCCTGCCCATTTCATTCACCTTGTAAGAAGGCTACAAAGGTAAAATTTTGGGACGTCAGTTATCACATCATGATAAGGTTCCAGTTTGCCATCATTTTTTTCCCTAGCATTTCTTCTTCAAAGTATTAACCTACTGTAAATGATGAAGCAAAAATTTAATCAGCTAAAAATAGCTTAAAATCAAACATTTGTTGAAATACTGTGCTTTCAGAAGTTTTAGAACTGTAATTGCTATAAAAACAAATTTAAATAGAAAAAGTAGAGATCTGAAGTTGTTTAAGTGATAAATATATCGAAACCAATTGTAAAAGATCAGCAAATTATGCATTTATATTTATCTTGACCCTGGGAGACAAGGGGCCACTCTGGAGTAACTCATATTAGATAGCTTGTGAGAGAGAGCAAATCATACATATTTTCCTCCTTGTCCCTTCACATGAGACTAAGAAACTCAGGTGTGACATGTAATCCACAAAAGAACTTTCAAGAAGCAAATATTTCCAAGGTCCCAAAGATTTTTCTGTGTTTGAATCAAGCTCAGAGCTGTCTCTACAAAAGCTAAACCTTGAGAGCCAGACTTCTTCTCATGCTATGGAAACTATTTTCTTAGCCAAGAATGATTCCATTTGTCTTAATTGATTGCTTTGTGTTATAGTATACAAGTCATTATACTGCTTTCTACCCTGTTCTTAGTCACATTTTGAGTCCCGGGGCTGCAACAATGAATACGAGGGACATGGACCCTACCCTCGAAAAGCTCATATTCCTGTGAAGAAAACAAATAACTAAGTTAATGATTGAGACAATATTAGATTTTTAAGCTCCTTGAAGGAAATGAAGTAATGTGATTGAGAGTGATTAAGCAGGGAGACAAGGTATATTTTAGCAAGAGTCCCAGGGAAGACCTCTCTGAGGAGATAATCTGAATGATGATCTAAGTGAGAAGGGAACATCCACTATGAAGATCTAAGAAAGGACAAACATTCCAAAGAGAAGGAGCACGAGTGACAAGGTACTGAAATGGTAAAAAGCGTGGTATGTTCCCAGGCAGCAAGATGACAGCTGTGGCTAGAGTGTGGTTGAACAATTGAAAGGTCAAGGGAAATGTGTCAGAAATGTAGGAAGATCATGTAGGGGCTGGTACGCCTCAGTAAGGAGAATGGATTATATTCTCATTGCAAGGGAAGCCTTTGGGTTGAAATGGTTTCACTTCATTAATGCTTCAGAAGTGTACTTAGGATGCTCTTTAAAGAATAGACCAAAGGAGGAAAAAATGGAATTGGGGAGACTATGAAGAGGTTGCAGGTGATAAAGGATGGAATTTAGACCAAACTAACAGCAGCGGCATTAGAGAGAAGTAGTAAGGTATATTTCAGTGCAGAGTTGGTTTGACTTGCTAATGCATAGAATGTGAGCTGTGAGGGGAAAAAAGAATTAGGGATTGGTCCTGAGCAATTAGAAGTTGGTAGAGAAGTCTCGGGGGAAAGGGAATTTGGAAAAGATGTGTTGGGTTAAAATATCTGTAGTTCTGTTTCGTCTGTGTTAAGTTTGAGATCTTTTTAAGACACCTAAGTAGAGATGTAAATCAGGCAACACCATTTGTGAAATAGCGCTTAGGGAAGAAATTCGAGCTGCAGATACACACTCAAGAGATCTAAGCCAGGAGGTGATATTTCAAGCCATAGGCTGAACCAAATTACCATGGACAGGTTACCAGCAAAGAAGAGAAGAAGGGAAAGAACAGTCTAAACCTATATCTGGAATGGGGGAAACAGCAAAAAAGACATAAGGAGCAACACATGTAGTAGGAGGAAAGGAACCCAAGATAAAGGCATGGAAACCCAAAGAATAAAATGTTTCAAGAAGGAGGAATCAATCAGCTATGTTGAAAACTGCAATAAATGAAGACAAATAACAGTTTAAAAAGTAACACCTAGTGGTTAAGAGCATAGACTCCAAAACTAGAGTAGCTGGATTCAAATCTAAGTAAGCTCCTCCTAGCAGCTGTGTGACATTGGACAAGTTACCTAACATCTCTAGGTAGCAGTTTTTTGTATCTAAAAGAGGGATATTATTTGTACCATCTTAGGATTGGTTTGAGGATTAAATGAGTTACGTTTTAAGCATTGAGAACACTGCCTGCCTCATAGCAGGCCTTCTTTGTTAGCTTGTATTACTAGCATTTAAACTTCGTAAAAATCATTTTAGGTGCTGAGGAAAATAAAGTCGTGATTGAAAGTATATGTCTCGTAGAGAATGGGATGTAAAATTATACAGACAAGTATAAAACTTACTTTCCTGGAGTTTTTCTGTGAAAGGAAGAAGGAAATGGAACAATAGCCAGAAGGGAATATGGCGTCCAGGGAATTTTTTTAATAGATGCCATAAAAGCATGTTTACTTACTGGAATGATCTGGTAGAGAGAGAAACAGTCAATATAGGAGAGAAAATGGGTAATTTAAAAAGAATGTTCTTGAGAAGGAAAAAGGAATTGAGATTCAGGGCACGTGGGAGTGTTGGTATTAGATTGATGTGGGGACACAAAATCCATTTTACCAGGAGAAGGGTGATATGTAGATAGAGGCAGGTAGGTGTGAGTGGATAAGACAGTGAGATGAGGCATCTGATTTCATCTCATTTTTCTATGAAATATGAGAGATGTTTGAAAAGACTATAAAAAATATCTCAGAGAGAGGAAAAGTATATTTATTGAGAAGTAATAGTAGAACTGTCTGGCAAGGAGTTGGCTGGCGCATACTATAAACTGCAGAGGACACAGTGGAATGGAAGAAGGGGTGGGATTAATGGCAGAATGCAGATATTTCTGTGATGATAAATTATTTGGGACACTTGGATTTCTGATAGCGATTTAGGGAAACAGATGTAAGTCAGGATGAGATTAAGCCTGCAAGACTTCGAATGGAAGATGGGTTATAGATATTAGCAGGGCTTCTTCACATAGTGAAGCTGTTAGAGCACTGAGCAGAGACAGCTTCAGAGAGAGATTAGTGGTGGCTGGGGCTCTGTTCTCTTCCACTGTACTAATGCAGCCAGGAGCACACAGTGAGATTCCACCAACCTCCCCTCCAGCCCCCCAAAAAAGAGGCATTATTTCAGCAGCAAGGCCATTTTACCATCTTTGTCAAAAGGACATTTATGGTGGGGAAAGAATTACAAGTGAAAACTGTTTTAACTATTTCCCCCTCCTCAATATCGAAATTTTGACTTTCCCTGACAAGAGGAGAAAATCACCGTGGTTGTCATTAGTGCTGTTCAAATATTTCTGATTCTCTCCCTTCTCTACCCCCATTAAATTGAGATGTGTTGATGTGATTTGCTTTGACCAATGAAATGAAAGCTAAGTAATATGAGTCATTTATGAGCAGAAGCAAAGGATATCAGTCTATGTGAACAATTAATCAGTAACAAAGGAGGCAGGAATATATCATGGGGTAAAGACAGTCTCTGCAATAAATGGTGTTGGAAAAACTGGAAAGACACATGCAAAAAAAAAAAATGAATCTAGACCACTTACAAAAATAAATGTATAATAGATTAAAGACTTATATATAAAACCTAAAAGAAAACATAGGCTGCTAGCAACATTTTTTTGGATATGTCTCCCCAAGCAGGAAAACAAAAGAAAATAAACAAATGGGACTACTTCAAACTATAAATATTTTGCACAGCAAAAGAAACCATCAACAAACCAAAGACAACCTACTGAATGGGAGAAGATACAATATCACTTATCGATGATATATCCGATAAGGGGATAATATTCAAAACATATAAGGAACTCATACAACTCAATATCAAAAAAAAAGTCCAATTAAAAACTGGTTAGAGGACATGAATAGATATTTTTCCAAAGAGGATGTACAGATGGCCAATAGACATATGAAAAGATGCTCAACTTCACTAATCAGCAGGGAAATGCAAATTAAAACCACAATGAGAGATCACCTCACACCTGTCAGAATGGCTATTATCAATAAATCAATGAACGGGTGTTGGTGAGGATGTTGAGAAAAGGGAACTCTCGTGCACTGCTGTTGGGATAGCAAATTGGCACAGGCACTATGGAAAACAATATGGAGATTGCTCAAAAAATTCAAAATAGAAATAGACCCAGCAATTCCACTTCTGGGCATTTATCCAGAGAAATCTAAAACACTAAATGGAAAAGATAGATGCACTCTTCTGTTCATTGCAGCATTATTTACAATAGCCAAGATATGAAAGGAACCTAACTGCCCATCAATAGACAAATGGATAAAGATGCTATATATGCATATTTAATATATATATACACACAATGAAATATTACTCAGCCATAAAAAGAATGAAATCTTGCAATAATGTGGATGGAGTTAGAGGGCATTATACTAAGTGAAATAAGTCAAAAAATATGTAGAATCTAAAAA